GGCAGCTGCGCGGGGCTGCCGGGATTCGGGCGCTGTGGTCTGCACTCTCCGGAGGTGGCTCCTCGGTGAGGCCGGGCTCGGCTCTGCGGAACATGCCCTCGCCGCGCGCCCTGCCCCGCTAGCAGCTCCCGGCTTCCCGCCGCGCAGCCCCGCAGCCCTGCGCGCCGCGCCCCGCCGCAGCCATGGGGCTACAGCCCCTGGAGTTCAGCGACTGCTACCTCGACAGCCCGTGGTTCCGGGAGAGGATTCGCGCGCACGAAGCGGAGCTCGAGAGGACCAACAAGTTCATCAAAGAGCTCATCAAGGACGGGAAGAACCTCATCGCGGCCACCAAAAGTAAGCAGGCACCGCGTCCGGCCGTGGCGTGGCGAGGCGGGAGGAGCGTCTTCCCGCCCCGGGCCAGAGCCTGAGGACTGGGAGATTCCGAGGGGGATAAGCTTGAGGACGGCTCTCCCCGGCAGCCGGGGCAGGTCCTCATCGCCACCCGGCCCTTCTCGGGGCGGGAGCGGGGAGCTGTGCGTGCCTGGGAGCGCGCTGCCTGGGGCCCCACTCGGCCCCCGCCGCTTCGGCGCTGCGCTCCCAGCGCCTCCGAACCGGGTGGCTCCGGAGTCCGGTTCTGGTGCGCCCCAAAGCTGCTCTCAGCCTTCCAAGAAACAGGCATCACTTCCACAGTTTTGTCTCGCTACCTTTCCAAGGAACTTTCTTGGGGATTCTTTGAGACTGCTGGACGTTGAATTCGTCACGAGTCCCTGAGGTCCTGTACCTCTTTTGTGTCCTTTTTCCATGTTCCCTGACAGTCTCGACCAAGTTCTACCTTGTGCCAAACCAGAAAGTCCACCTGGCTTTGTGCTGCCTTCTGCATATTCCTTCTGTCTTGTGCTGAGGCGGGTTCAAAGATTGAGGTTTGAGAGGGTCAGCAGACAAACTGCCCCCTGGCTCTGGCGGGCAATGCTTGTAAGTAGGGAATTCCACCCTGTTCAGGCCTGATGACTTCCACCTCATTCCTTCTAACCAGCCAGCCAGCCAGCCAGCCAGCCAGCCAGCCAGCCAACCTCTAAAGAAAACATAAATACAAGTGTAGTGTAGCTGTTTATAGAGTCTAGAAGGTAGGCGTGCTGAAACATCTGTATTGCTGCTTGAAATGGGGAGAAGTTCCCCAGGGTGGGGTGCTGGCAGCCTGATCACTGCCCGAACCCAGACCCTTCCTTTCTAGGGTTACTGTAGGCATCCCTTCTCAGTCATAGACAGACCTGTGTAGCAGACAGGCACGGGGCAGTACCCAGCCTCCAGGGTCAGTTTTGTTAGGTTCCTTGGTTCAGTAATTTCCATCCTTGGGAATTTGTCCCATGTTTGTAGACACCCCCTTCGAGAAAAATACCTTGTGTCCACCGTTGCCCCAGGGTGTTACTTTCAGGAAGGTTAAGACATATTGAGCATACATTCTCATCTACCCATCTGAGTGCCTGGCCTCGTTAGTAATCACTTAATGAATGAGCTGAAATATATTTTAATGGGAAGAATTTAGTGAGCCATCCCTGTAATTTGGGAAGCAAGTCACTCAATTTCTCTGGACCATCTCCAAGGTTCCTTTTGGTTCTGTGACCACTTCCATGTTGCAAAACCAGAATTGGTAATCACTTGTGATGAGTGGGTTTATTTGGTAGATGACTTTTTAGGCCCTTGGAAGCAAGTGTGTGTGCTGGGTGGGAAGCAGAAAGGGCTGTAAATGTGGAGTGAGCTGTAGAAAGTAAGAGGTGTGGGGACATCGGTGGCAGTTGAGTGAATGTGTTAGAGCTCTTGTAGCTCAGTGCTAGCTAGTGTCATTAGATGGGGACCTGTACTGTCTCTTTTAAAAAATTACTTATTTATTTTCATGTATATGATTGTTTTGCCTGCATATCTAGTAACTGCACCCATGTGTGCAATGCCAGCAGAGGCCAGAAGATGTCACATACTGGGATACTGGAGTTACAGACAATATTATTAGCCAGCACCATCTTGGTGTTGGGTGTTAGTGTTGGTGTTTGGTGTTGGGAACCAAACCTGGGTCTTCTGCAAGAGCAGCCAAGTGCTCTTAACCTCTGAGCCATCTTCAGATCCTCTTTACAAAATTAAAAAAAAAAAGTGATTGTGTGTGTGTACCCCCCCACATACGCATGCACATGGCACATGCATGCTTGCTCATGTGGAGATTAAAGGACAACTTGAAGGAGTTGCTTCTCTTTCCATCTTTCTGTGGGCTCTAAGGATCAGTCTCAGGTTCCAGGTTTGAGCTATCCCACCAGCCTGTTATATCCCTTCTCTTGTTGGCTGTAGTAGCTTCCTCTGGAGCTAGGGAGATGAGAGGAGCAGATGGCAAAGCCAGTTTGGCCAATGGTAGGAAGCTATTTCTGTGACTGTATATTAGCTGCTCTACTGGCAGGAAGCATGCCTCATGTTCCAGCAGTATCCAGAGGATCTGAGGGGGCAGCTCTTATTCCAGAAAGTCCATCTTTTTCGCTCTGTGATTTGATGTCTTATTCCTTGTGCTTTTTATGGTTAAAGATGATAAGCAAAACCAATAATCTTATTTAAGAGAGTAACTAGACAGTATCCTTTTGCTCCTGCTTTTCCTTTACTTTAAATTCTTTCCCACAACAATAACAGCTTTAGCTTATGTTCTTTTGGTAAGTTCTGAGGACCCTGGCCTTTTCCCTTGGCCCATAAAATTGTCTTCTAGTTCTTAGCAGAGATGAAAAGGATGCTGGGCTTTAGTAAAGAGACTTGGAATTTAATTCTTCACTGTTAGGCCCTGGCTTGGCAGTTAGGTCATGTAATTCTTTTTTTTTTTTTTTTTTTTTTTTTTAAGATTTTTAAAAAAACTTTTAATTATGTATATGCATGAGTCTCTGTGTGGGTATGTACATATGAGTGCAGTGCCCACAGAAGGCAGAAGAGGGGATCAGATTCTCTTGGAGCTGGAGTTATAGGTGGTTGTGAGCTGCCAGACGTGGGAGCTAGGAACTGAACTTAGGTCCTCCGCAAGAGCAGCAAGTGCTCTTTTTAAAAAATATTTTTATTTATTATTTTTATGTGTATGAGTGCATTGCCTGCATGTTGGCCGAGGTCAGAAGAAGGTACCAGATCCCCTGGAACTGGAGTTAGAGACGGTTGTTAGCTGCCATGTGGGTGCTGGGAATTGAACCAGGGTTCTCTGCAAGAGTTGTCAGTGTTCTTAACTGCTGAGCCATCTCTCCAGTCCCACAGCAAGTGCTCTTAACCACTGAGCCAGCTCTCCAGCCCGGGTCATGTAATTCCTATGATGCTTCTCTTGCTTTGCTTCTTGGTGACATCAGTTAGATTCTCCATCGTGGAAATGGCCTGATGAGTTCATTGGAAACGTTAGCTTAGGTCAGTGGTTCACTTAACCAGCTGAGCTTTTCTGTAACATCGGAGTCTCAAGATTCAAGGAAGAACATTAGGGGAAGGACCCACAGAAAGAATAACAATCAGCAAGGTCAATTGCTTATATTACCAGATGATTTAGACTTTGGTTTGCAAAATAAAGCCTTTCGTTAGGATTGAGTGTTTAAAGGATTTCTGTTTTTGGCCTGTAAGATGCCTCCCACTTTTACCAAATACTTGTCATTTGGATGTCTTGAAATGTCTTTGAAATCTTGCAGAAATATTTAAAGAAGTTGGGAGGCCCAGAGGACCTGAAGGCTTGCTGCCAAGTTCTATTATTTAGCAGCTACAATTGTTAATGCTGTGCCGAGATAACAAAGAAGCTGCGAGGTAGAGGTCCTTGTACTTGATTTCTGCAGTTGAATTCACTTCAATCTAAGGAGCATTTTTGAATTATCTGTACTATACTAAGGCCTTGAAATAAAGGATATGAAGCAAAAACGTGGAACCTGGGGTGTGGAGGTGCATTCCTATAATCCTGGTGGTTTTAGGAGGCTGAAGCAGGAGGATTGCAAATTCAAGGCCACTCCGGGTTACATAGTGAGTCCTATTGTAAAAACCAAGGTGTGTGTGTGTGTGTGTGTGTGTGTGTGAAAAAGATTGACAGTAAGTATCTTAATGGCAAGACTGAGTGTTTGTTGCAGGTTAGAGCAGAGCTAGCGTTTGCTGAAAGTTGGAATTAACTGGAATTCTATGTAAGGAAGAGAAGAACCTTGTCAGATTGCAAACAGCTGAGAAGAAACCAGAGTACTTGCCATGTTGAGAAGGATGAGGTGGCCAGTTTGGATGGAATGGAGACTGCATGTCAGAGCAGACTGGAGTGATTGGAAAGGTTAGTTTCAGATTATGAAAGGTTGTAAAAACAAGGTTGGGAATGTGACTCCCAACCTTGGAGAAGTCAAAGATTTTTGCCAGAAGCTCGGCATGAGGGGAAAGATGTTTTAGAGGCAGTAGTATTAGATGTTTGTGTGTAGGATGAGTTTGGACAAGGCAGTGAGGGAGGGAGGAGCTCCAGAGGGGAGAGCCAGTGCCTCTGTGGTAGATTTGGAGGTCATCAGTGAACTCTTTGTTCAAATGGCTTCTTAGTTCTTGCCTTTGTCACTCCTTCCTTTTCCTAGAATAACCAGTGTGTCCTCTTTCAGTGCAGTTTAAACGTCGGTAAGCTTTGCATTTGATATCTAGTTTTAGGTGCTTATGAGTCATATAAAAACATATCATAGTTGGCAGAAACTGCAGTAATACGTACTCATAAATTTTACATTAGGATATATTTTCTTTAGAATGCCTAACCTGTAGTGTCGGCTTATAATTCTTACCATTATCAGTCACCCTATGGTTATATAAAATGTCTTTAATAAAGTTGGATTGTCTGGCTTTGTGTAAGCTGGAGGGGCCTCAGGATGGAGCCTGCTCTCATCACACACAAGAAAAGGACAGAAGGAATTTTGCTAGTTCAGGACCAGGTCTAGGTTTTGGGTCTGCTTAGACTTGACTTTGATATTTCTTTTACACTTTTGTATTTTAATAACTTTTGCTTTGTTTCAGTTAGGAAAACATGGAAAATCCCTTTTGCTGTCTTTCTGTATACTGGTTCAGAGATGTTCTTTTGGGGAAATTTTTTAATCTGTCATTACATCTTACACTGTGATTTGGAAGACTGAAAATAATTTTAGTTTTCTGTAAGTTGGAGTCTTAGGTTTTTTTTTTTTTTGTAAAATGGACTGATGCAGATTGACTAAAATAGTGTGGGAAGGTTTTGAAACACTTGTGAAGAGGTTGTGTAGACAATCTTATTGATCCAGGTGATATTCTTTTTCCCTTCCCACTAGTCCAGATTTTTTTCGGGTACCTACACTTTTTCATGTGACTCAGGGAGGGATACTTCAGTGGAA